CATTTGTTTAATTTCCATATTATGTCTCAAACTTAACATTAACTTTAATTTTGAAATAACATTAATGCCATTAATAATCACATATTATATTATCATATGATTCGCTTTAAAACTTTCTGTGTTTATAACAATTTATAATTCAAATAACATTAAACTTAACTTACAATCAATGAATGTTTTATAACATTAACAATAATATTGTAATGAATTTATAATTGTATTATGTAATTATCACTTTAAAAATCTATTGTGACCTAAAAATGGGCTAAAATTGATTAATTAATTAAATTCTAATAGTATTTAATCATAAATTCTTTAAACTTCCAAACGATTGATGTGAATGTCAAGAATAAAAGGTATATTCAATTAATTAACTAATGTTTTGTGTCAACAAATTTTAAAAACAATTTTTCATGTCTTATAACAACTTGTGGTTTGATTTCCATTTATGTTGCCAACAGAATAATAGACTAGAATTTGATTTAACTTTGAATATAATATATAGTAGATTAAGATTATGACTGAATAACAGAAACAATTAATATTCAGATTCAGTGCATATATTCATAACAATCTAAAGAATAAAATCTTATATAATAAGAATCATTAAGAATCGATTCGATGGCACCGGTTATTGACTTAAAATTTAACTTATGCTCAAAATTCTGTGACTATTAATATTGAAAATATTGTAATCGACTTATAATTTGCGCGAAAAAAAACAAATTATCATTTCGTGTGTCCGGAAGAGACGTCTTAGAGGGATCTCTCGATCTTAATGAGCTCGAGGATGCCGTCCTGCATCTCCCGCACGGCCTGGTATTCAGTGAGACCCATACGACGCTTGTTGGAGATGTCATAGACGCCGCCCTCGGACTCGGTGTGCTCTCCGCGGGTTCCGCGCACCTGAAGGTTGTATTTTCCGGCCACGGCCTCCAACTTCTTGAGATCGGCCGCCAGTTTGGGCAGAGCTATGTGAACGCTGGCCCGGATGGTGGTGCCCAAGTTGGTCGGACAGAACGTCAGGAATCCCAGTCTGTTGTCCCGAGAGAAGGGAACCTTCGACTCAATGGTCTTAATTCCGTTCACTAGACGAGTGAACACCTCCTTCAAGTCGCCGCCCTTTTGCATACTTATGATACGCAAGTGATCTGATATAGTGAGACAAATGGGTGTCAGAGTTGTAATAATAAGTGGATTCAGTGCTGAAGACATACCCTCCTCATTGACCCAAACCAAGAAAGTCTTGGCGTCGTTGTGATAAATGCCACGACCGGTGGGCCAGTATCTGCAGGCGTTGGCCGCCTGAAGGAATCTGGGGTTCAATGGATCAGATAATCAGTTAGTTTTCGCATGAATTGTGAGTCGATTACAATATTTTCAATAT